ACATTAAGAGATTCTGTCTAATTAAAAAAAAAATTATTGTCCAGGCTTGAGTGCAGTGACATCATAGCTCACTGTAACTTTGAACTCCTGAGCTGAAGTTATTCTGCCTCAGCGAACCCCTCTCCCCCAAAAGCTAGAACTATGGACAAATTTTAACCGTTTAAAAATGTATATGCAGCTGAGTGCCCGTAGCTCAGTGATTAGGGCGCCAGCCACATGCTGCTCTGGGGCTGGTGGGTTTGAACCCAGCCCAGTCCGGCTAAACAAACAAACAACAACAAAAAAAAATAGCCGAGCATTGTGGCAGGTGCCTGTAATCCCAGCTACTAGGGAGGCTGAGGAAGAGAATCACTTGAGCCCAAGAGTTTGAGGTTGCCATGAGCTATGATGCCATAGCATTCTACCAAGGGTGACAAAGTGAGACTCTGTTTCAATTTTAAAAAAAAGTACAATGCAGTGGCTTTTGTTGTTGTACAATTCACAATTTCGTGAACTGTTTCACTGAATTGTGTTCCTATCTCAAATTCGTAAGTTGAAGTCCTAACCGTCAATATATCTGTATTTGTTTCTTTTTCTCTTCTTTGGTGTATATATTTTTTGCAGTTTTTTTTCTGTAAAAGATCCTAGTTCTACCATAACATATCAACATAATTTAAAAATATGGAATGAATTTGTGTGTCATCCTTGAACAGGGGCCAAGTTAATCTCTGTATTGTTCCAATTTTAGCGTATGTGCTTCTGAAGCAAGCACAATGTCTGTATTTGGTGATAATATTGATAGAATTTCTTTCTGCAGTAGGTCCTAGGTCCTTGGTCTAGGAGATTCGAAGAATGAACCCATGGACCATGGATCAGTGGTAAGACAGGATTCATTAGATAGAAAGGAATAAAAAGCACAGAGCTCACAGCAGAGGAAAAGACCCAAGTGGGAAGTCTCCCAAGGGTCTTTTGTCTAGGGCAGCAGTTCTCAACCTGTGGGTTGCGACCCCTTTGAAACAATGAAAATACATCCTGCATATTAGATATTTACATTACGATTCACAACAGTAGCAAAATTACAGTTATGAAATAGCAACGAAAATAATTTTATGGTTAGGGGTCACCACAACATGAGGAACTGTATTAAAGGGTCGCGGCATTAGGAGGCATTAGGAAGGTTGAGAACCACTGGTCTAGGGGGATCTATACTGTTTTGTAAAAAAGGGAAGTCTTGAGAATTACATTTGGCCAGGACTTGGCAGACTTCAATGTTGATGAGTGTATTAATGAATGAATGAATGCAGTTTCTCTAGCTCCTGGCAAAATGGCAGGGCATACACTTCAGAAGAGGCCCTTACTTGAAACTGCCCAGGCCTAAGAAACCTGGGTCACTGTCCAGACCTGAATGGGGGAACCCTGTATCAATAGGGTCTTTATGAAGGTAATTAAGGTTAAATGAAGTCATTAGGAACCTAATCTGATAGGGAGATAGAGAAACAGTGGCCCTGAGGAGAAGGTCTCTGAAAAAATAGGAGGGGAAAGGCCTCGTGAGGACACAGAGAAGGTGGCCCTATACAAACCAGAAAGGGAGGCCTCGCCAGAAACCAACCCTGATGCCACCTCAATCTTGGACTTCTTGCCTCCTAGAACTGTAAGAAAATAAATTTCTGTTGCTTAAGCAACCCAGTTGTGTGGTATTTTGTTATGACAGTCCAAGCAGCCTAATATAGTTACTATGGGGATTACATTTGACATACTAAATTTATAACACTTTAATTTATCCCAACTTAACCTCAATAGCATACAAAAATTTTGCTCCTATACAGCTGTCCCCACCCACTTTCGGTTACTGATGTCACAAAATTACATCTTTATGCATTGTGTGTCCGAAAACAGAGTAATAATTTTTTTTTTTTTTTTTAGAGACAGAGTCTCACTTTATCGCCCTTGGTAGAGTGCTATAGCATCACAGCTCACAGCAACCTCCAACTCCTGGGCTTAGGTGATTCTTTTGCCTCAGACTCCAAAGTAGCTGGGACTACAGTCACCTGCTACAACGCCCAGCTATTTTTTGTTGCAGTTTTCCCAGGGCTGGGTTCAAACCCGCCACCCTTGGTATATGGGGCCGGGGAGGGTGCCCTACCCACTGAGCCACAGGTGCCACCCCAGAGTAATAATTTTTTTAAAAAATGCATTAGTTCTTTTAATCATGTATAATACAAAAAGTGGAATTATAAACCAAAGTTACAATATCATTAGCTTTTATAATTGCCCATGTGTTTACCTATATCAAAGATCTTTATTTCTACATTTGGCTTTAAATTACTGTCTTGTGTCTTTTCATTTCAACCCGATGGACTTCTTTTACGATTTCTTTTTTTGAGACAGAGTCTCACTCTGTTGCCCAGGTGAGAGTGCTATGGCATCAGCCTCGCTCATAGCAACCTCAAATTCCTGGTTCAGGTGATCCTCCTGCCTTGGCCTCCCAGTGTGCTAGGATTTATAGGCATAAGCCACTGCACCCTGTGCTTTAACTCTTAAAGTAGGAAACAAAGCCAGCCATCAGAGAGATAAATGAAAACATGTACAAATAACATGGAAGGGAACTAACACTTGAGTTTTAGACATTGTGCTAGGAACTTTTACATACATTTAATCCTCTCCAAAATCGCTCTTTTTTTTTTTTTGCAGTTTTTGGCTGGGGCTGGGTTTGAACCCGCCACTTCCGGCATATGGGGCTGGCACCCTACTCCTTTGCACCACAGGTGCCCCCCCCAAATAGCTCTTTTTAAGTAAGAAAAATATGCCCACCCCAATATTAAATGAACAAAGGAATGATCATACAATTACTTTTTAATTAACAAGTTTATTGAGAACCTACTATGCTAAAAGCAATACCAATGGTCAGCAAATATGTAAACAAATGGTCATCTGGATTAATCATTATCAAACGAATGCAAATGAAAACAAAAGTGACTTTTCCATTTTTTACCTGTTAAGTGGTCAAAATAAACGTGCTCCCCAGGGTGTGGTGCGTTGGGGTCTCTGTAGGCAGAGGTATGGATGCATAATTTTCCTGAAGGCACTTAAGCAATATCTATAAAATGACTTAAAATGTATATACATCTTAAAAATGGCCACGTAGAAGCCTGAAACACTCCTAGCAACCGCTTGTGGTTTTCAAATACCATGTGGGAAAGTACCAAAACACCAAAAGGAAAAGAGGGTTCATAGGAACATGGCTATGTCAAGGTGGGAGACAGGAAGTGAACAAGATAAGTTTGGAACAAGCAAATGCTCAAAGGCCACTGAGGTCATATCAAAAGGACACAGGAGCCATCTGGAGGAGGCTTTCACACACCAAATGTGGGACAATTTGGGCATTATTGAAGTGCAACTTGAAAAGGTTTAAACACGTTAAATATCATTCCCGTGCCCCACATCTCCATGAGCAAATTCATTGGCTACAATGGCAGAATGTTGGGGGACCAACTCATGATTCTGAAAACCAATAAAGAAAAAAGAAGCATTTATACTGGTTTTGATATGCAGAATTTACTCATTCGTTTCTAGTTCATAATTTTAGTTTTCTCTTTTAGAGGTAGTTTTAGAAAATGATTGGATTTCTTTTTCTTTTTTTTTTTTTTGAGACAGAGTCTCAATATGTTGCCCTCGGTAGAGTGTTGTGGCATCATAGCTCACAGCAACCTCAAACTCTTGGGCTTAAATGATCCTCTTGCCTCAGTCTCCCAAGTAGCTGGGACTACAGGTGCCTGCCACAACACCTGGCTATTTTTAGAGAGTGGGGGTCTCACTCTTGCTCAGTCTGGTCTTGAACCTGTAAGCTCAGGCAATCCACCCACCTTGGCCTCTTAGAGTGCTAGGATTACAGGTGTGAGCTACCATGCCCGGCTTCTTATGTAATTTCTAATCTTCTAAGTTTCTAGCCTTTTGAATGAAGGCCACATAATAATTATACTTTACCATTGTTTTTCTGAATAAATTATGTGACAAGTGGTTATGAAGGCTTTATATATATGATACATTCATAAGGCCCTTCTCTCATGAACTGCTTAATGGTGACACTGATACTAACATCAATGAAAACAGCTAATATTTATTTATTTATTTATTTTTTGAAACAGAGCCTCAAGCTGTTCCCCTGGGTAGAGTGCCATGGCTTCATTGCTCACAGCAACCTCCAACTCCTGGGCTCAAGTGAGTCTCCTGCCTCAGCCTCCCAAGTAGCTGGGACCACAGGCGCCCGCCACTACACCCAGCTATTTTTTGGTTGCAGCCATTATTGTTGTTTGGCGGGCCCGGGCTGGATTCGAACCCGCCATCCTAGGTGTATGTGGCCGGCTCCTTAGCCAGTTGAGCCACAAGCGCCGAGCCAGCTAATATTTATTGAGCACATCTATGTGCCACATATTTCTCCTAAGGCTTTATCTAAAATATCTAATTTAGTCCTCATGAAAATTCTATTAGGTAGGTGTAATTATCATCCCTTAAAAATAAATCAACTGAAGGACAGAGAGATTACATAACTTCCCCATTGCTACAGAGTAGTCAGTGAAAGTGGGATGATGTTAAATAAGGTACATGCCACCATAAAAGGCATATTTACAAAATCTCTCTCTTTTTAGATAGGGTCTCATGCTATATCCCAGGCTAGAATGGTATATCACAGCTCATTACATCCTCAAACTCCTGGGCTCAAGCTGTTCTCCCACCTCAGCCTCCCAAGTAGCGAAGACTACAGGCCACAGCCACCACACCCTATTCTTTGTAGAGGTTGGCCTGGAATGCCTAGATTCAAGTGATCCTCCTGCCTCAGCTTCCCAAAGGATTACAGGTGTGAACCATCATGCCCAGCCCACAAAACTTTTTAATACAGTCATTTTCAATTAGAATTCTCGGAAACCTAACATGTTTTGGGTGGCAATAGAAGGCCTTTCCATATTCATATTAATTTTTTATTTTTTTAAGTGTAGGTTCTCAGATGCTTAGTAAACAGTGACTGAGGCAAAAAGAATTCCCACATTTATTGAATTTTCTTCTGGTATGAGTTCTCTCATGTTCCATAACAGAAGTAACAAGTGAAGGTTTTTTGATATTAATTGCATTAAAAGTCATATAGTATTGAGCCAGGTGTGAATTCCACATAAAAGCTTTTCTATATTCCTATCATTCAAGGTCTTCTAACCAGTATGAATTCTGTAGTGTTCAATGAGCTGTGAGCCAAGTATAAAGGCCTGCCCACATTCTCTACATTCATAAGGCTTGATACCAGGATGGATTCTCTGATGTTCAGTAAGTTGTGAACTGCGAATAAAGGCCATTCCACATTCCCGGCATTCATAGGGTTTCTCACAAGTGTGAATTCGCTGGTGATGAGTCAATTGTGAAACACGAATGAAGGCTTTCCCACATTCTTTACATTCATAGGGTTTGTCACCTGTATGAATTCTTTGATGTTGAATAAGGTATGAACTACGACTAAAGGCCTTCCCACAGTCCTTACATTCATAAGGTCTGTCACCAGTATGAACCCTCTGGTGTCGGGTAAGCTGGGCGTGCTGCCTGAAGGCCTTCCCACATTCTTTACATTCATAGGGTTTCTCCCCAGAATGAATTCTTTGATGTCTAGTAACTTCTGAGCTGTGAATAAAGCCCTTTCCGCACTCCTTACATTCATAGGGTTTCTCCCCAGTATGAATTCGCTGATGTACAGTAAGCTGCGAATGCTGTCTGAAGGCCTTCCCACATTCTTTACACTGATAGGGCCTAGCACCTGTATGAATTCTCCGATGAACAGTAAGTTGGGAACCACGAATAAAAGCCTTCCCACAGTCTTTACATACATAGGGTTTCTCGCCTGTATGAGTTCTGTGATGCAGAATAAGTTGTGAATGCTGCCTAAAGGTCTTTCCACATTCTTTACATTCATAGGGTTTGACACCAGTGTGAAGTCTCTGATGTAGAATCAGTTCTGAAGCACGACCGAAGGCCTTTCCACACTCCTTACAGTCATAGGGTTTCTCACCCGTATGAATTCTCTGATGCTGAACAAGGTGCGAGGTCCGACTAAAAGCCCTCCCACATTCCTTACATTCAAAGGGTTTTTCACCAGTGTGAGTTTTCTGATGCTGAACAAGGTGTGAGCCACGGCTAAATGCTTTCCCACATTCATTACATTCAATCAGTTTCTCACTGGTCTCACTGCTCTGATGTAGAGATACATGAGGCTTGAAAGTGGGCATGTCCTCATAGGTGATTTTGACTTGCTTGAAATAGCGCTCCTGTGGCACTTCTTGTCTTTCAAACTGGCCTTTGCATTCCCAGTCATCTCTAAAACGGGAGCCCTCAAGATCACAGCAGTTAAGGCTTTCCATTATCTCCCAACTGAATGACTCTATCTCAAAGATATCTTTTTGGAGAAATTTCTGACACCTGGACTCTAAGTCTGAAAAGTAAGAAAAAAGGAAATATAAACTGTGCTCCCCTTCTATGAGAAATAAAAAAAATTCCATGGTAGAGTAGGGAGGCAAAACGAATATAATAACCATAAAAAGTATCAAATGTTATGCAATTTCTAAAAAGCACATGAAAACACAAATACGTTAAGAGCTGGTATAGTGCCAAAAGGGAACTAGAAAACAAATTAAGTCAGAGGGTTATCAATTTGGATGTGAATCAGAATCATCCAGGAAGTCTGTTAAAAATATAAATGTCCAAACATCATTCCAAATTGAATCAAAATCTACAGCAGTAGGGGTAAGGTGTGCCTGTGCCTGCATGTGTACCATCTATACCTATTTATGTGTTTTTTTTTTCTGAAATAAGAGTTTAATTTTCTTGCCCCAGGCTAGAGTGCCGTGACAGCATAGCTCATAGCAACCTCTAATTCTTGGGCTCAAGTGATTCTCTTGCCTCAGCCTCCCAAGTGACTGAGACTACAGGTGCCTACCACAATGCTCAGCTAGTTTTTTCAGTTTCAGTAGAGTCGAGGTCTTACTCTTGCTTAGGCTGGTCTCGAACTCCTGAGCTTAGGCAATCCATTGTCCTTGGCCTCCCAGAGTGCTAGGATTACAGGCATAAGCCACCATCTCTGGCCTTTAAAAAGTTCTTAAACACTGGGCTGGGTATGGGTATGAGTTTGAGGTTGCCATAAGCTCTAACACCACAGCACCTACCAAGGATGACAAAGTGAGAATCTTTCTCAAAAAAAAAAAAAAAAAGTTCTTAAAAATTGAGAAATATCTTTAAAAAGTTAAACAATAACCATCTGATTCAGCAATTCCACTCTTAGGTATATACCCAAAAGAACTGAAAGCAGAGACTCAAATAGACACTTGTACACCAAACTCATAGCAGCATTACTCACAATAGTCCAAAGGAGGGAACAACCCAAATGTCCATCAAAGGATGAATAGATATGGCTCAGTGCCCATAGCTCCATGGGTAGGGCGCCGGCCACATACACTGAGGCTGGCAGGTTCAAACCTGGCCTGGGCCAGCTAAACAACAATGACAACTGCAACAAAAAAATAGGCAGGTGTTGTGGCGGGTGCCTGTAGTCCTAGCTACTTAGGAGGCTGAGGCAAGAGAATCGCTTAAGCCTAAGAGCTTGAGGTTGCTGTGAGCTGTGACGCCACTACACTCTACCGAGGGCAACATAATGAGACTCTGTCTCAAAAAAAAAAAAAAAGATGAATGGATAAAGAAGTGGTACATACATATAACAGAATATTATTCAGCCTTAGAGAGGAAGTAATCCTGATACACACTTCAATTTTGATGGATCTTAAAAACATTATGCAAAGTGAAATAAGATAGACATAAAAGACAAAATGTTGTATGATTTCTCTTATATGAGGTATGTAGAATAGGCAAATTTATAGCAACAGAAAGGACACAGGGGCTAGGCACAGTGGCTCATGCCTGTAATCCAGACACTCTGGGAGACCAAGGTGAGTGGATTGCTTGAGCTCACAAATTTAAGACTAGCCTGAGCAAAAATCGAGACTGCGTCTTACTAAAAATAGAAAAACTGAGACAAGTGGATTGCATGAGTCCAAGAGTTTGAGGTTGCTGTGAGCTGTGACACCACGGCACTCTACTCAGGACAAGAGGACAACAGCTTGAGACTCTGTGTCAAAAAAAAAAAAAAAAAAAAAAAAGAAAAAGAAGAGAGGACACAGAGGTTACCAGAGGTTGGGGGGTAGAATGAAGTTATTGTTTAATGGGTATAGATTTTGAGATGATGAGTAAATTCTGCAAGAAGGTATGGTAATGGCTGCACAATACTGTGAATATACTTAATGCCATGGAATTATACATTTAAAAATGGTTAAAACGGCTGAGGATGATGGTTCACGCCTATAATCCTAGTACTCTGGGAAGCCAATGCGGGTGGATCACCTGAATTCAGGAGTTCAAGACCAGCCTATGCAAAGCAAGACCCCATCTCTACTAACAATAGAAAAACTAGCCAGGTGTTGTGGTGGGCACCTATAGTCCCAGCTACTTGGGAGGCTGAGGCAAGAGAATCACTTGAGCCCAAGATTTTGAGGTTGCTGTGAGCTATGATGCCATGGCACTTTACCAGGGCCACAGAATGAGACTCTGTCTCAAAAAAAAAAAGAAAAGACTAAAATGGTAAATTTGTTATATATATTTTACCAAAATTACAACGAAAAAATGAGGACAAAAAAGAAAGGAAGAAAAATACCAACTGCTACCTCCAATGCCATTCAAATATCATCTCACATATGCAAATAAAAATGAAAAATTGGCTCGGCACCTGTGGATCAAGTGGCTAAGGCGCCAGCCACATACACCTAGGGTGG